TATTATTTTCACAGATGGGGTTTAGCTCTGATCCAGTGATGGTGTAAGATTTGTGGAAAGTGGGCAAGGGAATGTTCATGGTACAATTTTCGGTACTTTTAAAGGTTAAAGTATATATGGTTTTCAGCTTTTTACAGTTTCTAAAGTTTGAGGAAATTAGAGTGGGGTGGCCGGCTCGCTTGGCGAAGTGGTGTGTAATTTAACGACATGATTTAATTGTGAGGAATCTGAAACACGGTTGTGCCGATTTCAAATTCGCCAACCATTTTAGGAGTTTCATTTTCAATGAGTAAAGACATATAGGCGTTTCATCACTCAATACGCCTATTACAATTAGAGTAGATAACGCCGGCTGTGAAGATACGCTCTTCTTTTGCTCGAGATACGCCCACGTGAATTATTTTATCGGCGCCAGATGTGCATTTTCGTTCAAATTTCGCCTAACATCAAAATGACCAGATGTGCCTACATTTCAACACGCAATTTTTCGTTTTACATTAAATAAACAATGAGTAATTAATTAATTACAAACATATCTAAAAGGAACAATAACAATGAGGCACAAATTCAAGTAAAACGAACCAAATCTGTGTTAATTTTGGTGTTTAGACCGCAATAACGTCTACAAGACGTTGTTTATACAACACTATATACCTACAGAGAAATCACAATTCTATGGTCAAAATATAGAATTTTAAAAAAGATACTACCATTTTAAAGGAAACTTATACAAAGAAGGTAATTCAAAAGAAACTCAAACAAGAAGAATGAAGCGAATCTGTTGAGTAATTAATGAAGGTGGTTTATTGGGCAGTAAACAACAATTAATTAAGAACCAACCACTATCAGTTCCCGGATTGGATTGTCTCATTTTGAACCGATATGCAACGATATGCCAGGGTTCTACATTTCAAAATTCAAAAAATCGATCGAACCGAGGTTCAGTTTATTTCAAACACTACGCTGTCAAATTAAGGTAGAAGGAACAAAGTTAGTTTTGACATTTGTGAACAGAAATATTTAAGCACGCATATTTCAATTTTAAATTCATTAAACCGGAACGACATTTTAAAGTTACAGTGACTACTTTTTTCCTATCGCTACTTTCGAAGACTCGCGCGGTTATCTTGATCCACTTGTTTGTTAGATAATTAAATTCAAATTAGGTAGTTTTTTATGTTGTTTTTATTAGACTTTACCTTTTAGTGTAATCAATTAACAGCCTTTATGTAATTCTAATTTGACCTGAAGTAATTGTATTTATTGCAGGTTGTCAAGGCCAATCTGGCCACTAATAAATTAAGAAGTTCACAAACAGAATTTCGTATGCCCATTGTTTAAATTCACTCTTTATATAACGATTTTCTGAAATTACTCAATGAGAGAAGCGCTAATTACTCAATACCTACGGCCAATATGATCCTGTTGTGTTGTCCAATTCAAAGTAATTTCAGTCTCAGGATTATGAGAAAAATCTCATACTTACTGTTTTTTCAATTTCCTTTTGTCTCAAAAGTATGAGGGTATGAGATCCAAAACCAACAACAAACAAACATTGACATTATCAAATTCGAGCCTATCGTTTTTGAGGTTGAAAGGATAGTGATATAAATGTGAATTTTTTGGTAAAGAAAATAATTTTTAAATTTTGGAATTTAAATGCACTGCAACCAAACATAACTTGATCGCTGGATACTAGACAAGTCCAATTACGCCTCGCAAGCGAAACTGAATACACTTTTTAGCGGATTTTCCCACTCATGTTGGAAGGCTATGGCCACTTGCATCTACCAGACCTTCCGTCCGTCTGAGGCCTTAACTACTCCTACAGTTTTCAAGATATATTTAGTTCGTTCTTCTCGCAGTCGGTAGCTTATAGCTCTGATCAATAACATACATTGTTTTTGTAGTTCGTCGATTTCAGTTTTCATTTCCATTTTTACTGTATAAATTTTATCTTGAATACTCTGTATCTCATTAAGAATCATACTTCTCACTTCTTGTTGAGCTATTTTAACTTCCAGGGCTTGTTGACCAGCTTCGAATTTAGCTTCCATGGTTTGTTGACCGGTTTTCATCTCATCTTGACCGGTCTCCATTGTAGCTTGACCCGTTTTCATTTCCTGCATTAATTGCAACAGTTGTTCCATTTTTTTATAACTACTGGCATAAACTTTCACTAATTGTTCACTTAAAAATAACCCGATACTTGACACCAGTGTAACGTTAATTTAATTACGTGGGTTTATTTATTTACACATAATTAACAATGAATTTACGAGTATAACCGTCTTAAAATGTATTAATTTATAACAGTAATTATAAGGATTATAAGGATTGCGTCACATCCGCCTTCGCTCTTATCGCGGATGACTAATCTTTCATGGCGCCTCGATGTCTATCGGGATTTCTAGAATGTTCGCTACAATAGGATCTATGGTTAATTTGTGATAGAATTCTAGTTCTGTTTAGATTTTAAGTTGGCAAAGAGAGTTTCGACTGAGAAATGGTGGCGTGTGATGATGCTTGAGTTAAATCTGAATTTTTAACTAAATAGGTATTAAATAACCGAGTTTGTGGCTAATAACCGATCCTAGTTTCTCGAAAGGGAAGCTAACTGACATTTAAAGGAAATTCGTAAATATTCGACTTCAGGAATGGCTTTCAGCTTTCGGACGCGCTGCGGGAATGGTTCGATAATACCAATATAATACTGAAAACCCGAAAGTTCTATGATATTCCGTTGCCGAGATCTCGATCGATTTAAAAAAGGCGCCCAAACAGCAACAGTCAGTGAAACAATAAGCTAGAAAATATCGATCAAATTTGCGTACATTTATTAATAAAACAGATGGGCGCCTAGTTTTTGGTTTTAGGAAAAACAGATGCACCACAGACCACCTATAGTAGTACTTCTTGAAGTTTGTATTCAAACTGCTTATCGGGACCGAAGGCACGCAGTGATGGTCTACTTTGATATAAAACATACAAACGAGCTGAGTTGAAGGGTACGGCATAATGCAAAAGAGAGTGTTGCAATTGGTAAGCTTGTAGGTAATGTTTATATGCATGAAAAAAAAAGGACTAGGCCAAACAGACGAGCTACTGCAACATGTGGTCGCTTTAGGCTTTAAAGATTTTTTGGTTAAATATACAAATCTGCCGATATAGACAATTTTATACGCGGACAGCGGACAGAACTAATATGCGAGAAAATAAATAGCGTTAAAATAAGAAACGAGTGTTCAAGCAGATAAGACTTGAAACGCTACAGTGTTCCCAGTTATAAAAACCATCGTGAGGACGGAGAATTAAAGATGGTGTTCTGCTGTGCTTTCACAGAAAATGTGAACGCTTGATTCTCTGTGGGTCCGTTTCATCACTAGAGCTCGGCGAGTAGATAAACAAGGCCAAACTACGTAAAGTATGAACGGTAGTTTTTAGATCGCGTAACACGAACTTCTTCGCCAAGCTTACAAGACGAATCATGTGAATTTGCGTGCGCCACTTTTTGGAGATCGCGTGAAGATTCAGTTTCAATTGAAAGGGTGAACCGAAAGCCGTATAGCCGCATCATAAAAAAAAATCATTATCCGCCTAACCGGAAGATTGTGCCACCAATTACGAAGAAATTATTCTCGGGGTGACGAATTGACATTACAAATGAGCTAATAACAGGTAGTTGGTTTATGCAAAAAGCGGAACTTAATTCCGTTGTGGAGTCGACCGTATCCGAAGTGTTACCTTATAATGCGAACAATTTCGTTTCGTAGAATTATCGGATTAGCGTGCTCTCATTTAAATAAATCGTTGCCACGGAAGCGTTGAAGTTCAAGGTGCAAAACGTTCATTGCGCTGTTTTTGGAGTCGCAGGTTAGTTAAAAAACAAGTTAAATTAAACTGTGCACCTTTCTTGTGTATACGGGGATGTTCATTAAACGGCAACTGGTAAAAAGGTTAAAGACATTGCATTTGTGCTTTTGTGGGCTGTCAAAACCCCATCTTATAAGGGTAATTTTGGACATTTTCATACCGCGGTACATTGGTAAGCATTCCACTAAATAAACCAAATTTCAACTAATATATTGCGAGAAACCTGATACACGGTTTGTTTTGGATTCAAATTCGTCAATCATCTTTCGAGATTCACTTTCAACGAGTAACCAAATTTTTACCTGGCGATACAAAAGGTCCGATTGTATTCTTTTGTGTGTGAATGTTATACAGATGCGTATAAATTTCTGTTCGAATAGGAAATGTACCGGGTGTAGGAGTAATTATAAAAAGTAAAATAAACGTGGATAATTCATTCGATTTTGCATGATCACGAGACAGGGCTTGAATGTTTCATTTGTATCTGAGGTACATGAATATTTTAAATTACAAAAAATGTAAAGGAAACTGGAGTTGGAACGAGATTATTTTTAACAATATATTCAAACAAGTCAATTTATATGAGTATAATTTATTTAAGAGCGATAAAGCCAGAGCATCAGGTTTTAATTTTCGGTGGAGACAAAGAACCAACCTTCCGCAAGGTAAGAGTAATTGAAAATGTATTCATTACTGAGCTAGCCGTGGCATTAACTGTGGCAGGTTTTTGGAGCTTTAAGACCGTTAAATTTGTAAGTTTGCGCCCATGTATTTTTATTATATAAAACGAAGTATATTCCCATGGCAAATTATCGTATAATATTAATTTTTTTCTACGATCTTTTGTGACACGCTTTTAAACAACTACTGTTTGATCCTGTTATTGCATGGTACCTACAGAATAGAGCAACATAATAATCGAAGGAAAGGCATCTTGGATTTCATAAAAAAGTACTAATGAATAAACTAAGGTCAACATTCGTTAACTACCTACTTAGCAATGGTAATGTATGTCATTATATTATAAGATTACCTGAATATTAGCCACTGTAATTTAAATTATCATTAGCTTAATCGCGGCCGCTACTTGTACATAAACTGCTTACCCACCTGTGTGTGAAGTTTTAAAAACATTTCCAATGATGTGGTACGCAATTTTTTATTGCTACATTGCTATTACCACACTATATACTACTATACCCTGCCAATTAACAGTGCAAACTACCTATGGCAAAATACGCGGACTATCGGAGACTGCTGCGACTGGTAAGCAAGTGAATGCGTGGTATGGTGTTCCATACGCTGAAAAGCCTATCGGTAAATTACGTTTTCGCCCTTCGATTCCACCGCAACCGTGGCAAGATACTTTGGACGCGACTATGATACCTCCCGTCTGTGTGCAAACTAATCGAAGTTTTCAGTCGCCCGAACAATACTTTCCCGGCAAAAGATTGTGGATTCCTACGCATCCCTTCAGTGAAGACTGTCTTTATCTTACCATTGTCGCCCCGGATCCAGTCCCGCAGGATGCATCAGTAATGGTGTGGATACACGGTGGCGGATTTTACTCGGGGTCTAACTCGCAAGGTTTTTACGATCATAAAATATTAGCCTCTGAAGAAAATGTGATTGTCGCCTCTATGCAATACAGAGTTGGTGTTTTTGGATTTTTATCTTTAGAAAGGGAAATAAATGGAAATGCAGGCTTGTTTGATCAAGCAATGGCATTGCAATGGATCAAAGATAATATAGCGGCGTTTGGAGGTAACCCAAATAGTATTACAATTTTTGGTGAATCAGCCGGGGCAGGGTCAGTATCTCATCATTTATTAAGTCCCGTATCGAGCAACTTATTCTCTCGTGGCATTATGCAATCTGGCGTTGCCACTGCACCGTGGGCGATGGCCACGGACGCAAATATGGCAAACAGTTTGCAATTGATAAAGGCGTTGGGTTGTCCAGATGAAATAGACTTAATGTTAACATGTTTACAAGAGGCAACTGCTGATTTAATAATTGAAGCACAAGATACAATTCCGCGAAGGGGATTGGTTTCGATTCCTTTTTTTCCAGTTATTGATGGAACGCTTGTCGTGAGACACCCTTTAGAAACTTTACAAAATGGATTATACGATCCAAAAAATGTAATTGTTGGTGTGACCGAAAACGAGGGGAATTACTTCCTGCTGTACTATGCCGAACGTTTCAATAACGAAAACATTACACTAACACGCGATAGGTTTCTTGAGGAAATTCCAAATACTGTTTTAACCGATAACCCCATAGAACTCGAAGCAATCGTCTACGAATACACAGATTGGTCGAATCCTAATGATGGACACAAGAATCTAGTCGCATTAGAAAAAATACTAAGCGATAAATACTTCACGTGCAGTTCATACGATTTTGCTAAAAGATTTTCCGAAAGAAACGACCTTTACTTTTATCTGTACAAACATCGAAACCCCCAAAACCAGTGGCCTTCGTGGGGAGGAGCTATGCATGCAGACGAAATCGTTTTTGTTTTCGGCGAACCCTTAGATCCAAGTAAAAATTACACGAGCGAGCAAATAGAATTCAGTCGTCAAATGATGCGGTATTGGGCCAACTTTGCGAGAACTGGAAGTCCAAACTGCGCTTCGGGCGATTCGTGCGAAAACACGTGGCCTCTGTTTGAACCCGATAATCCAAGTTATATTAATTTGGACGTTGACGACTTTTCAGTCACGTCTGGACCGTTGAGGGCTAGACAGTGCGTGTTCTGGGAAAAGTTCCTACCAAAGCTGTTATCGGGTATGCGTTAAGTTTCGTTCTGTTTGAATTTTGTTACTAACAACTAACGTTTTGTGTTTTGATTTTAGAATTTTACGACAGTAACTTTATGTTGCAGAATGTTGATGATCCTACCTCTCTACCAACATCTTGAAACTAGTGAATGAACCATCCTCGTACACCCGCTCGAAAAGTTGTTCTAATTCTAATCTAGGAAACATAATTAGCAAATAATAAATCACTGATAAAAATAATAGGTACCTAATTATTTCAAGATTGCTAGTTAATAGCTCTCTGTTCGTCCGTTAACTAATCAATAAACACCAAATTTGATGATTTTTTCATTTATCGGGATTAATGAAACCGGGCAAACGGATAGTTATGGACCAGGCAAAGGACAACTCTTGCATAGGGAATTAACAATGGCAAAAATAGTTAATTGACCAATTTCACATTGCGAATGCAAAAACACTAGCATAATACGATCAAAATTCAGATAGTATAAAAGATCACCCGTATCGCCATAGGTGGGATGAGTATTAATTAAGTATACCATTGTTGCCTTAGCTTAGCATATTGTCTTTTGAGACCAGTTTTGCTTCTCTCCTCGTACACATCCGAGAGCAAAAAAGTTAATTATGTATAGCTGCTGGAAAGTGAAACAAAGGAAAGCAAACCCCCCCTTACAACCCCCTACACCGGTAAAGTACACTTACCTTAAAACGATACGAAAATGAATCGGTAAGTCAAAGTTTCAAAGGTTAAAAGATTCCTGCTTCATAACCCTCTCGCTTTATATAAAATTCGACAATTTCCTGGTATAAACTGTTCTAAAATGACAAACTGCCTTTAATTGATTGATCTGCTCCTCGACGTGATTAAAATGTGGAACCAAGCTGAAACTTTAAGATAAATTAGCGCTCTTCAAATGACACCCAGCACACTCTAATCAGACGACGTTTGCAACAACACATCTAAATAACTACCGCTGTCTCGCTTTTGGTTGCTACCTTAAATTCCCGTTCGAAGGGTATTGTAATAAGGGATGGTTTTATAAAAGTCGGTTGACCCGTGGTTTTACGCCATTTTTGTGTTTTATAAACGTCGCGCGAGCTTCCAACCATGGGAGGGAAGCGACTCATCAGAAGACGAGGACGAAAGGGTAAGACCGCCTAGAAATTTTCGCTTGCGCGTGAATCATTATGACATGTGAGATGATGACAAGAAAACATTATTTCTTAGCACTGTTCGATATTTCACCACAATATCCATGTGGCAATCGGGGTCGCGGTATAGTACCATCTTCCCTTTCCCGGTCATTATTCAGCACAGAGTACACTGGTACACAGCAGGCGAAACGAGCAAATTACTAATCCAAAACAATAGTCAGCTGAGCGACTGACGCCTGACATCTGCGCCTCCACGCGCAGCGGGAGAATCAAACGGTGCACTCTCATTGGTTAGAATTTCCGAGGCAGTACGGCCACTCGTAGGAAACAAATCTCAAGCACGCTTCGAAAAGTGTTTATAAAACGCAAAAGGACGGGTTCAAGTTCCATCCGATGTTGGCCAACCACGGGTTCAACTGGACTTTTATAAAACCGACCCTAATGTGTGGAATTGGACGCTGTTATTCTGAGGATAGTCTTACACGCCATTCGGAATTGATTTGCATTTTCTGCCAATATTCAGACCCTTCTGCTTTGTATCCTGGTTTTCATGGTGTTCACTGCGATGGCTCGAAGTCCGCGACGATGATTGATGGCGGGCGTAGGTGACAGAGGCTCTGAAGTGCAAAACTCGCTGTTGTCTCCATCACTTTAGGAGCAGGCGCGGAAGCTGGTTTCGACTGGAGTCGGTAAAAATTGTTTTCGGGGGACCTTGGTCGGCTTGGTGGAAGTGATGCTTTGAAATCTTTCATCTCCGTGGAAGCAGTGGCATTTATTGAGTGTTTGCTCTCCTTGGATGGTAAATTGTTGACACCTCATTACGCATCGTTCATGAGGGACGAAGGTTTGTCAGTCCCTTAGGATTGATTCAAGATAATCAAGCTCGCTTAGTAGGAGATAATCGTTGCATTAAGCCTAAGTTTGCCTACTGCTTGGGTAGATGTATCTCTGTCTGTAGCTACAATAACGTATGTAAACCGCGAAGGAAAGTTCAAGTTGCAATTGGATACACCTCCAATCCCAATCCGATTGCGAAAATCAGCGCCAGTTTTTTGAAATTCCGCATTATGAGAACTGCTATTTACGTCCTATGGTATCTGGCACAAAAAATTAGTTTTTTATGTTGTCAGTCATTTCATGAGTACGAGTAATGTTAAAAAAACTATAACATGAATTATAATTTAAACAATAATAACGTGTTACAACATACATATGTCAATCACACCACCATAAAGCAAAAATGTACGACCATTATATCCAATTATGGTAGACCAATTTTCATTCAAATACTTATTTCTTTTTCTTCATTTTTTATTCACATTCGCATATCTTGCAAACCATTAAGTAAAACCAGTGTCTACAGCGATGGAAATTTTCCCATGTTTTTATGTTAACAATAACAAATACGAATACTTAGATTCGTATCATGTACATGTTTTTGAAAAACTATTAAAGATTTGATGAGGAACAAAATAGATACCCAGCGTGTCATATGGAATTGGCAAACACATGTTAGGTATGATGTTATCCCACAATTTAATATAAAATCAATGTCTTCTAAGAAACCATGCTGATTTGCAAAGTACCAAGGTTAAACTCAAACAATCTGATTACGAATCCTTTGGCCATGGACAAACATTGTGGTCATATCGTAACTGTCCGATTCTTCGATTGATCAAACTTGCTTAGTCATGAATAACCTCCTATTTGGATACCTTTTTTCCGTAAAAACTCTAAACAAAAACTTAAATTTCCAAGGCTAGAGGTAAATCCAGACCTTGGAATGCATTCCCCATGAACCTCATAGTGTAAGGTAGTTATCCTCCGTATGCGAGGTTCTGTTGAGATGGACTTTTATTTTCTTAGCTCCTTGGGGCACTATGGACTAGCAACAAAAAACATAACAGCAAATTCAATGGAGGAAGCCAAACTGCCAAGGGCCCTAAAAACAACTCGACCCAAAAAAACTGCAGGCTATGGGGAAGAGAGAGCCTCACTAAGTCTACGACGTCTTCTAGGCGAAACTTATCTGGCGCCCAGCGCTTAAAAAGCAGCAAGGAGTAGAGAGCAGCGCCAAACTGCTAACTGCCCATGCAACTATCTCATAGGCTACGAGTAAAAAATATGAGCAGAGAATGCATCATATTACCTCTTTTGCATACGTCAGTTATGTTAACTTGACTCATGATAAAACAGAGGAGTCGATGTCTGTTTTGTTTTATTACGTCTCTGCCAATGGTGACGCCTTGCTTCCCACTGTTATAACCTCCTTTTTGGTCATTTCAGTCGCGTGCCCTTTTAATGCAAGGCTCACTTCTCTTACTTTTTTACTCGTAGCTCATAGGGGCAAAGTTGATGACATAGTAAAATGTGCCTTCATTCGCGATTTACACTAAACCAACAATTTCAAAATGGCCGTCGTTTCTCTACAATTTGTGTTCGGTACGAATTAAAAGTAGGTATTGCAATTATTGTATAACAGTTACCAATAAACGCTTGTTGCTAAAAAATATATTGAAATTTATATTTTAATGGGACAGATTTTCAAGTTCAAAGAAAATGAAATGTATTTGTGTTGCGATTTGTTCATTGGGAACAGACCTACTTTCCTGCTCGGGCTGCTGGCATCCCAAGATGTTAATTTAGAACAGATTAAAACCACCCCCTAAAATAAGGAAATATGCAGGGAGCCCCATGACAAACAAATACAAATCAGCCGGTTTGGTAACGATATTAAGATCGTGTTATCGCCCGTCAGCTTTTCCCGGGCGACTAACCTGCCACGACGCATCCGGTAACCATTAACTCACAAAATTACAGTTCGCTAAATTCATTTATGTCATACTTGATTATTATTCAGTTATAATAATCCTAAATCAAGATACATTAAATGACAAATAATGCACTCCACCATGACAACCTCAATTATGCGTAGCAACGGGCGTTATTTCTATAACGCCCAAGGGCGTTATTTCTGTAATCCTATAAATATGGAATAATGAATCTGTACGAACTTTTTATTTTCAACAACTAAATAAAACGAACTGTGTTGATGTCGCATTATCCTACTGTTATTCTTTGAAGTAAAAAGAACAATTCTGGGACTGTCCAGAGAACACCGCACCAGTTTGCCCCATACCCATACATTTTCTTTCTCCTTTGCACATCAGATACTGCGGATCAGGTGCTTCTGTAAGAAAAGACTATCTGTACGCGAGTAAGGATTTTTGATTTTTTTGTACGATTTTTCTGAACTTGATTTAATTACCCTTGTACCTGCACAAATTTTTCGAAACTCTTAATCTTCTTCTTTACCATTACCTAACCCTTTAGGTAGCATTGAAAATTTCGTCCAAAGCGAATTGGGAGAAAATGACTCTCAGTATAAATCACCTTTCCGTTTAATGACTAATAAAATTACTTAAACATACCGACTCTTGGAAGTAACCCAACATAACGGTTTCGTTTATTGTTTCCACAGCATTACTCACCATCCATTTTGCAAAAGTAGCGTACTCTTTTTCATAAGAGGATTTCGATTTTTGTGACACTATGGCTTCATTCGCTTTTGCGGCTCGCGCAAGAACGTGTGCCGGTAAATGAGACGCTTCGTCTACCATTTTTCAGACAGTTTTAGGAATGTTTGACTTTGACAAATATAATATCTATCTCCATAGTTACGACCTCGGTTACGACCATCGGACCATGGATAACTTAATTTTGATGATTCTCATTATCTTCTCTTTTAATCATCTGGCACCGCTAATTCTTGGAAAATCATCAAGTATGACATAAAACGTTGAAGGCACCACGGGCGTTATGAACACAACGCCCACGGTCAACGTATAACCCTCGGGCCAGAGGCCCTCGGGTTCTACACTGTTGACCTGGGGCGTTATTTAGTTCATAACGCCCTTGATACCTTAATAACTATAAGAATCTACTGCGTTTAAATATGAAAATAACAAAATTTTAGAATAAATAGTCCTCTAACGGTATCAGCGTGTAGGTATCTGTCGTAATGTTCAATATCTAAAAGAGCTACCTTAATTAAATTCAATTCTAAACATTTAATTCGAACAAACAAACCTAAAAGTCATCCCAACTATCTAAAAGCTCATTAAAACACCCATGTGTACCAGTTAGG